GGCGCATGCATCAGTGCATTTTCCACTGGTCAGCGCATGAAGGGATGAGTCGACCATAGGATCGGCGCATGAAGGAAATACTTTTCAACGGGTCAGCGCACGCCGACTGTATGGTCGACGCATACTGATACATTTTGCAGATTTCCAAAAAATGCAGGCTATGCGTCGACGCACATACCTGTTGCGGTCGACCGTTCGCACGGAAATACAGTTTTTAAGTGATTCCCTTTACTATTTGAAAAGTTGTTATGTCCTTGGTTGGTCTGGTACTATATATACAAGTTCAACCACTTATGTCATTTTAACATTTGATAAAAACTGATTCATATGTTCAAGAATAAGAAAGAGTGAAATAGGTGTCTAAGATTCTTCATCTTCAACATCTCACAACACATCAATTACACACAACCATCTTTGAAGTGCATTGTGAATGATTAAAGGTGATAAGGTTCGAAGCTTAGATTGGGTAATCTAGTTCGGGTTGAAGCTTGTGACAGATTCTTTCTTGAATAAAACCTTTAGGGTTTTATCCTCCAAGATTGGTTTGAATTTTGGGGGATTTTTGGACGATATTCTTCATCAAGGGTCAACTGAGCGAAGGTGATTGTGAAAAGGTGTTCTTCAACAGTTTAGTAGCGGATTCAGTTATATTGAGGGGAAGATCTCGGGTTCGATTCGTTGCAGTTGAGATCAGCCGGAGTCGAAGGTTTGAATAACAAAGGGTTATTCAATAAGGTGGATGGAATTGGAGGTCTATAAACAACGATCGGAGGACTTGATTCATCTTGAATCAAGGGGCAAGGAGTGAAAGCAACATTCAACGTCTTGAGATTTCTGTTGTATATTTGCTGTTCAATCCTTGTATAAACTGTTACATTCAACAAGTGATATCTATTAAATCTATCTCAATTCTAGTTTTAGAATTGAGGGCAGACGTACCCCGAAGCGAGGACGACGGGGGAATTGCCTCACCAAATACTTGTCTTCTCTATTTTTCAGCATTTCCGTTTTAGCTTTAAAATAAGTGATTTTTGTATAAGCACTATTGTCAAACTGTGATATCAATTGAGTAAGAGGTTAAAACTCTGTTTTTGAATCCAAAGTACAATAAGACATTGTACTAGGCTAGTTGGAATCACTTACTCAACATAAATATCACTTGGAGTGTTTTGCACACCAAGTGTTTGACAAATTGCCTAAACCAAAATTATCTTACTTGTGTATCTAGTTTTGGTTTGCTCTTTAAATCATTGGAACTAGGAATCCTAACAAGTGAATTAGATCATTGATAAGTGTGATTAGTGTTGTGATTCTTCTTTCCATATTGTCATTAATCCAAAGGCTTATCGCATATCCGGTTTTCCAATAACCGTTCGTTTTAGACTATATTTTCCTCGGCTGCTTCCGCACTTAAAACAAATTTTCAAAACCAATTTTTAATTTGGCAGCGCCGACTCAAATTTTAAATTGGGATCTATTCAACCCCTCCTTCTAGATCCGTGCCATAGTCTAACATATATTTGGTCCACTAGTTTTTATTATTTAAAAGTACTAATGTGTTTTGTTGCTGCTAATGTTTTTCCCCCAACCCCATTCCTTAATGAATGCTTCTATATAATCTATACTACTTATCTAATCTAGTTTGATTGAGGGAGATTTGTGTAGTGGATTTTAAGGTGCACATTTTGGAACCCTAATTTTTTTCTAAAAATAGATCATTTTCTGAATGAGTTTGTATTCATAATCTGTTTTCCCTTGATTGAAATCCATTTATTTTTAAAAGAAAATAGCAATATGGTCACCACATAGTTTTTCAGGGAAAGTTTCAAAAAGGATTCTTAATTTAATTGTCCACTTTTAGGAATGGAAATCTCATTTCATTGTTTTTCTGTTATGATAGAAGAAAAACTATATTTAGTTTAAACGAATTAAAATACAAAGGCAAAGGCAGAGAAGGGTAAAACATCCTCCTAATGAAGCAACGGTATACATGGTTCAAAAAGTTTGAACATTAAAGAGAGACATCCATACTAGTAAAACAAAATTCCAGTGTTAGTTACTGTCACACTAAAGCCTTTGGGAATGATGCTTGAGATTTCTTGCTTCTACCATGAGATTTAAATATCACTATTAGCTTCAAGTTTCTAGCTAGAACTTTTTATCCATTTCACATAGAGTGGTTCTCTTATCTTCCATCGTTTCTTCTTTTGGATTAGGGTATCACAATATACGAGTATGTTGTAGCAATGAGAGCCATGAGTGAAGCACCTCCAGGGCCACCTGTGGATGAGGATTTGTCAAATATACTTTACTCTCCAACAGGCTCAGCCACAACTGGATTGAGTGGAGGAAGTTCTCTTGGATTGCAGTACAAAGGGGCATGGTGTACCCCTCCTAGGGTATTTGTGGACTATCAGGTACTTAGTTTGAAATTTATTTTTATCTGTATATTTATTGATTGAACTAAAATTAAGTTGTGCTGCAATATTAAGTACCGAAAGATTCTTGTTGACTTTTTATATCATAGATTTGTAGCGGGGAAACTTTAATGAAGAACTCTTGGGAAATAATCAAAGCATGAGGAGTTTTTCCTATTTAGTTTAAATCTTCTATTGCTGCAAATTGCTATAGAAGTTTAAATGTTAAATATATTCAAAGAATATTCCAATTATAATGTTGAGCACTCCATCCCGACAAATAATACTATAAAATTCACATTCCTTGTAGAAATCAAATCATGATAGGATGAATAATAATTTAAAGTTTTCGAAAGAAAATCACATTAATGTGGGTTAATAGCTACTTTTCATGTCAATCCATTTAATTTGAACTTTTACACTTATGTTTAATCAACCCCTGATTATGCAATTTGCATCATTACATGTTAACATATTTGACTGTCTTTCTTTTCTTGACAAGAAAAAAATGTTGAGTTGCTATTAAAAAGTATTTGTGTGTTTTGGTTCATGGAGCTTGCTTTAAACATTGGTTTCAGGATGAAGTTGTGCCTCCCTTGGAGCCTGGAATGCTGCCATCGACTGTTGATCTAGATGCAGCTAGGTTTGCAGAAAGAGGGCAAAAGATACCAAAGAGACCTGTTCGTATTAGTGCTTGGAAGCTTGCTAAATTGGATTCTCAAGAGGCAGTGAGAGCAGCGGCTAAAGCCAGGGCATCTTCTTCAGTTTTGCGACCTGTAGATAGCCACCGTCCACCTGATGAAGAATTAAGTTCTAGTGGAAACATGAGCATCAGAAGTAGTATGAGCATAAATACTGGAAATAATAAGGAAGTAAACAAGTTAAGATTGTCTCCAATGAGGAATTTGATTGCTCCTAGTCAAGGAAGCCGCGACGAGTATGAAACTGGGACTCAAAGTATGAGTAGTTTCAGTAGTCCAAGCCATGCTCAAGAGGCAGTTACACTCAGCTCTCTTCCCCAGGGGCGTACTTTGGGCGGCTTCAGGGCCGATATTTCAGTTCCTAGTTTGGTGCCTGGGCGTCCTTTAACTTCTAAAGCAACTTTTCCAAACTTCAGGAACCCAATATCCAATCCATCTCTTGGATTTGATGCAACAATGACGCTGAAGGGAGCAAGTAACGACCCGTTATTGCTTTCAGCTTCCAACATGTCCATTTTAAGAGATGTGAAACGGACATCAATTGTTTGGGATCAAGAAGCCGACAAATATATCTCTGTTTCTTCATTGCCTTCAGAAGCTCGAAATAGGTCATCTCTGCAAATAGAAATGCCAAATTTAAATACTGAAACAAGCAGTATTGGAAGGAAACCAGTGATACCTCCACAGGAATTGGCGTCATCTGCACCTAAATCTCCAAGGCAACATGCATAGAATCTGACGTATACAGGAGAGTCTATCTTTTTCGGTGGTCCATTTTTGAGCGTGGCTGCTAAAGATGATTTGAAAAATGAAAGGCATTTGGGATCAGTAGAGGCCCATGATAGTGTAGCAGTAAATTTACCCCAAGAGCCAAGATATAGAAGAGATTCACATTCAAATCAACTTCCAGTGTTTGTTTCTGGTGGTTTTGATAATGCTCTTCAACTTCGGTCCGACATGAATTAGCTTAAGATGATTGAGATTCTTATGAGTTGGACCCAGTTTATGTTGGAGTCAAGAGGATAGTGAAGAAGGTTTTTTATGTTAAAGTGATTCTTCATATTATGTTAAAGTGATTCTTCATATATGGTATCACATTTGTCATTATTATTTTATTTTCAAATATTTTAGCTGCTTAGTCATTATTATTTTATGAATTCTAATGTCGTAAAATGCAAATGCCTATATATATATATATATATATATATATATATATATATATATATATATATATATATATATATATATATATATATATATATATATATATATATATATATATATATATATATATATATATATATATATATATATATATATATATATATATATATATATATATATATATATATATAGACACACACACACACACCAAAAGAATGATTTTATGTAAAAAAAAAAGTGTACTACAATAGCGTTTTAAAGAGAGAGTGCTATTGACGATACGTACTATAATAGCATTTTTATGGAAAAGTGCTATCTAATATGTGTCTTATAATAGCGCTTTGTTTGAAAGTGCTATCAAAATCAAAGCAAATTACGTTTTATAAAATGCAAAATGTATACTTCTGTAGCGCTTTTGAAAAAATGCTATTAAATACCGGTACTATAATAGTGCTTTTGGAAAAACGCTATTAATTAGCAGTACTATAATAGCGCTTTTAAAGCGCTATCAATATTTTTTTTTACAATAGCAGCTTGGTTAATAGCGCTTTTAAGCGCTATCAAAAAGAAAAAAATGCTATTAAATAGCTTTTTTGTAGTAGTGGCTTCTCGCGGGAAAAGAAAAAATGGAAGAGTGTATGGTGCAGGAGGATATGCCAAAACAATCAAGCGGCGTGATAGGACTTTCAAAATGAGACTTGATGATGGAGAAGAATCATCACATCCACCTATATTAACCGTAGGAAATGAGGAGAAGACAAACAAAGATGGAGGAGGAATTGAGGAGGAAAACAACGGAGTATGAGGAAGCAATGCAAATTGCAAATGAGCGTGCACATAAATTTGAACAATTTATGGTCTCGCATATGAATCAAGGTTTTGGAGAAAGAGATGAGGATGATGAAGGAGTTGATTAAATATTTTAAAAATATGAAACTTTTAATATGTATTTTATATTTTATTTTATCTTTGTCATGAATTATTTTTATTTTGATGATGGATATGGATATTTAATTTTATTACACTTTTAATTATAAATTATTATATTTTACAAAATTTAAAAATATATATTATATAATTATATTATTCTAATTATAATAATATAATTAAAATAGTATAATTATAAAATTTAATAATAATTTATTATATAATTATAGTATTCTAATTATAATAATATAATTAAAATAATATAATTATAAATTTTAATAATAATATTATATACCTTAGCTAGGGGTTAAACTAGAGGTGACAAAATGGATAAATTGGATTGTTAATGGATGGATTAAAACAACCCGTTAGTCCATTAACAATCAACTAAAATTTTCTTAAAATTATCCAATTCAATCCATCCATCCAACTTTTTTTTTATTTTATTTTCGACAAATTTATTTTTTGTATTTTCAAGAAAAAAATTGATATTTTAATATTTGAAAAATATCGTTTTTTTTTTTCAAAAATGAAAGTCAATTTTTTTTATGAAAAAAAATTGGTTTTTTGTTTTGAAAAAAATCATTTTTTTTTCCAGAAAAAATTCTTTTTTTTTTTCCGAAAAAACACAATGTTTTTCGAAATACAAATCAGTTTTTTATTTTGGAAAAAAAACCAAATTTTTTATTGAAAAAAATAATTCTTTTCTTTTAAAAAATCTATTTTTAATTATTTTTAAAAAAATAAATATAATAAAAATAAATATAATTCATTGGATCCTTAAAATATGTTGCATGGATTGAATCCATCCAGCCTTATAAATGAATGTATTTAATTCAATTCATTAACTTATTTTTTATGTGGTGGATGAATTGAATGGATTTGATGGATTTTGCCTTAATAGATCCAATTGCCACCTCTAGGTTAAACCCCTCACAAAATTCAAAACGTAAGTCAATTTCCTAGGGGCTTTACCCCGCGCAAATAGGGATGACAACGGGGCGGGGCGGGGGCGGGTTTAACTATACCCGCACCCGCACCCGCCTCCATTTAACACACCCGCTCGCGCCCCCAAACCCAATCGGGGGTAAAAATTTATCACCCAGACCCGCCCCCAATAGAGAACGGGTGCACCTGCACCCGCCCCGCCCCAACTCGCAATTTTTTTTAATTGCAATAAAACTTAATAATTTAATTAAAAAATTAATCATTTTAATAAATTAATTAATTATTTAATTAAAAATTTAATTAATAAATAAATATTAACTTGATTAATTTGATTATTTTAATTGCAACAAGGACATTAATAATTTAATTAAAAATATAATTAATAAATAAATATTAAAATAAGTAAAATCAAGAAATTAAAGTAAAATGTGGAGAAACAACAAATATGCCACTTTTGTTGAATATGAAAATTCTTCACCATATATATAACACATATGAAACAAAATAATCAAATAAAAACTCCACCATAGAATGTAAAAACCCTAGAAAAAGAGAAGAAACGTACTTGCGAAGAGGGGGTGCCATCTTGTTGGTAAGAGTACCAGCAACAATCATGCAATCAGATTGTCGAGGGCTAGGTCTATAAATGATCCCAAATCGATCCAGATCGTAACGAGCGGAACTAGTATGCATCATTTCCACAGCACAACAAGCGAGGCCAAAGGTCATAGGCCAGAGGGAACCGCGACGAGCCCAATTCATGAGATCATCAACCTTTGAGATCACGTACTCCGCCGTCTTTGAAAGGCCGCCGGGAGAGGAAGCCGATGGAGGAGGCGGTGGAGCATAAGGTGTAGGTGAGGTTGTAGATAGAGAACGTAGGGTTGTATGGAGAGAAGCTACACGCTGTGGTGATGCATGGTGGGAAAATCGTGAGGATGTTCCAGTTAGAAAAGCCATGGCTGTGATTGTTGCGGAAACGGGGCTTCGTGAGACTTGTTTGTTCTTCCTCGATGTTCCTTCTGTTTGTGTTTATTTGGATGCATGGAAGAATCCGCCAATCAGGAAACTATTTTTGTCAGGAACATGACGTGGTGCACCATGCACTATCCTTATTTATTTACAAACCAACACCCAAATTTTATGATGGTTTCAATTTTTTCAAACTCAAATTCTTAAAATGTCTGTTGGTCTGTGGTGTCTAAAATTTATGTGGTTGAATTTGTAAATTTGATTTTTCTTCTATAAAGTAAATGTTAATTGAATACATCTAAAAAAAAGTGGGTTTTAACTATTATAATTTTAGTGATTTTGATTGTGACTTGTGTGGACACTAGATGACTTTGTCTATATTATTTGAAAAACATAAAATGGTTAATATTTTTATTTAATTAAATAAGTATAACATAAATGTATTTAATTTAAGTTTAAAGTAAACATAAATAATTAAAAATATATTTTTTATGGGATTAGTATGCACTTTCAATGCAATGGAGTGAAATGATTATAATTAAAGTTATTTTATTTTAAAATTTTGCATTAAATCGTTAAAAATAATTTTAGAAATTTAAAATGAATTTGATTGTATGGTTCAAATATTTATCTCATATTTTTTTATATAATATTGACAAAAATTTATCCCACGTTTTTTCTTTTTATTAAAGACAAAAAATTGTACTTTATATTTTTTATATTCATCGGTGATTAGGGGTGTGCAAAAAAATCGGTTCGTAAGAACCAAATTTAAAAATATAGTGCACTGATTTCAAAAGTCCATATTATTTGGTTTAAAAACTAGTCCAAATTCATTTTACTAAAACCACTAAAAACCGGTGTCCACTTCTTAAAACCATGGTTAATTCATTTTTTAAACTATTTGTCTTTTTTTCATGGTCATAAATGACAATTAAGGTAATGTATAGGTAATAAATAAAACTTTTATATATATATATATATATATATATATATATATATATATATATATATATATATATATATATATATATATATATATATATATATATATATATATATATATATATATATATATATATATATATTCAGGGGTGTGCAAAATAACCAATAACCATAAACCAAATTCCTATTCAAATTAATTCAAATTTTAAAATCTAATCCAAGTTTATATTTTAAATTTGCTGCCCCATTTATCAAATTAAAAAAAAAAAGGTAACCATTTGTTTCAAATCGGATTGAGATTTGGTAACCATTTTTTAATAAACTTCAAAAACAAAAGTAGAATAGTTTGGGAAAATCAAGATCAACACCCATAGTTTGCAATAAAATTGATTTGGTTTAAAGTAGAATAACTTTAAGATAGATAGTTTGCAATAAGTTTAAAGTAGAATAAGTTTCACGATTAATTGATTTATATCAATTCAACGTACTTCTCGATTAATTGATTTAATTCACGATGAAAAGGAATTAGTCTAATTACAGCTTTACATTGAGTAGTTTAAAGTTTAAGATATATTGAGTGTTGATTTAATTCAATGTAAAACTGAAATAAAATTGATTAATTGATTTATATCAATTATTTGATAGTTTGCAATAAGTTTAAAGTAGAATAAATTTCAGGTGGTTTATCAATTATTTGATAGTTTGCAATAAAATTGATTTTTTTTAAAAAATTGATTTTTTTTTAAAAATTGGTTTTAGTACTGATTTCTTTAAAGAAAATAAAAAACGGACTTTGAGAGAAACTGGTTTTTAAAAAAACTGTTTTTTTTTTAAATCAGTTTGAAACCGAACCAATCCACTTGTAAACTGGTTTTTAAAAAATAAACCGATTTTATATAAATAGTTTTAAGATCCAAACCAAACCATATATGTGGCTTGATTTGGTTTGGTTTATAATCCATGCACAACCCTAATTCAGCTGTTATCCTACTTCTGTAGTGGTAATTTAAAGGATAATGAGCATGAGTGGGGTCATTATACACTTGTTGTCCCTATATACATCAATGTTACGATAAAGGCTGAAAACACTTATTTGAGGCATGCTATGTTTACACCGTTTTATTACACCATATCCATTTACACCGTATACATACTCATGTTTTTGTACTGCATGAAAACTAAAGTGAAAAAATAAATTATTAAAAAAATGATTAGAGTACTTTTATGTATAATTTACGGTGTAAGTGTACAATTCAGTGTCAAATGAACATTTCTCCACTTATTTGAAGTAGATGAAAAGAAAATTAGAATCCAAAGAGGCCATTTAAATCACAAGCCCATTAGCCAAGTATTAAAAAAATGATGATGATGAATTAAATAAAACAAGAACTTTACAAAAAAAATCCACAAAAAGAACTGCAATTGTTATGACTTTAAAACGCAACCGCAGTGTTTGTGAAACGCAAGCTTCAGCTACACATCACAACGTGAGCCACAACACACACGAGCTGCAAGTGCAAATTCAAAACGACATTAAAAATTCAACAGCATATCACGCGTGACGATTGCTAAACGACATCAACTCAGCTCTCAAATTCACCTCAATTCATTCTATAAATATGAGCAATTCACCTTCAATTTCTTCAAGCTTGAATAGCCATAAGAGTGCTGCCAAAATCCTCACATAGAAATTCTTTCAATCTTCATACTGCAAGTTTCATATTAATCAATCTTCAATCCATTTCCATTTCTTTCTAAAAGCTTCAATCAGCCTTCAATTTCTTCAAGTTTCATTGAAACCATTCATCAACCTACAAATTTACAAAAAACCAATTTTAGTATTTCATCTTCATCACACATAAACAAAAATTCACAAAAAAAACTGATTTCACTCGTCTTTGACTTACAACATTATCAAATCAATTCAACCGTATCACTCACGCACAAAATCATCTTCATCATGTAAACATCCACCCTTAACCTCCATTGCAACACATTTTTTCTTCAAACTCACAATTCAAAATCAAGGCTCACCTGTTGAATTCGCAACACAAGCTCACTAAATGCCAGATCGCGACGAAGAACAACAACACTAAAACACAAATTCGTACTGCAACGATTCACAATAATAATGGCGTAGAAGACAAGTTTTAGAAGAGAAAAAGAAGCGTACAACACCAGGTCTTTTTTCCTATGCTTAGAGTATTATGGATCTTTGCCTTTATTTGCCTTGCTTATTTGTTTATACTTCAAGACGGATGGATTTCTTATATCGCTAGCTATGAAATGTGCTACAATTTGGTTAGATCCTTCTTATCGTTAGCTTTTATTTTTCTTTCAAGGGTAGTCACTTCATCTCCTCCCCTTCTTAAATTTTCAAAATCTTCTCCATTTTTAAAAAAGACCTTCTTGTTTTCAAACTTAAAACCGCTTTCACAATAAAACCTTGACTTTTGTCAAGTGACTTTCAAACTTTGTTTTCTTTAATAAATGTCAATCAATGTTAATCATACTTTACCTAATTTCAAAAAGATATAAAAAAATACTTCACCTCATTCAAACTTTTTGTGCCTTTATGCACTTTTCATTTTAAAACTTTTCATAAAGTTTAAACATGAGACATTTTCATAGTTGAGATATAATTATCCTATTTCCCATAGTATTTAAGATATTGACATTTTCCACTTAGATATTGAGTGATAAACTTGTTGATTTTAATCCAAGCAAAATCCTCTATCTTTAGGTGATGCAAATGTTATCTTATACTTGTGGGCAACTAGTCATAATTTTCTCCTTAAAATGACGAATTGTCCTTACATTTAAAAATCAATCAAAATAAACCATTTTTTGTTATTTGTACCACGAAATACGGGGTTTTGATCCTATATTGCACTTTGTGGGTACGTAGGCATGAGGTGGTAAGTCTCTCCAAACACAAATTTTTTTAAAAATATATCTCTTCTCATCTGATATAAAGACGCAATTGAGAGAATCTAAGTTATTGGCTTCTGGTGGCTCAAAATCTGAAGAATGTTCTTTAAGTGAAGACTGATAATATAGGTTTGCGTAGATTCTAAAGCTGAAGGTCTCAGCATCAAAAGAGAAATATATTGTCTCTAAGCTTATTAAATGTATAAGCTTCTGGTGATCATTCAAAACCAACGATAAAGCTTAAGTTATTCGTACTGCATAAAGCAAGCTACATTGTCAAATCTATTGTCAGCTAGAGTCTGTGTTCACAAGACTCAAGAAGAGTTGACATGCTTTACAAATATCTACTCTCCATTAATCTATAGTACAATATCTCAAGAAAACGCAATGGTTAAGCAAGTTACACAATGGATCAATAACTTTTGGTGTATCTATCTTCAATGTTTCTTGTATTATGAAGTAAAAGAGACACTTGTACAAGTTATCTCTTCCAACGACTATTCCTCTAAAACTGCTATATAAGTAGTTGAAGATTTAACATGGATTTTCAACAAGAAACTAGGAGAGAGAAAAAAAAAAGAAAAAGAGCCAAGAAGGATAGAAACGTTCCTCGCTTCTATCAGAATGGAAGAATAACAAGATCAAAAATAACAACACAATTGAGTATGCAGATTTTCTGTTATATGTTATAAATTGTACAAAGTCTTAAGATTTCTTAAACATTGAATATCTTAGAAATATTAAGTGTTGTGATCTTTGTTATGGTTATTGCCCTGTACCTCTGATTATGTATCAATTACACCTTGTTCTCTATTATACTAAATAAGTTGTTTAGTAGTTTAGATGAAGTCTCTTGTTATGTGCTTGAGCATCAAAGCCTCTTGCTGTGAAGCTTGAGCCAAGTAAGTCTCCTGCTATGGGCTAGAGCATTGAAGGCTTAATCAATTGTTGATTGAGCAAGAAATTCTTGGACTGCAGGTCTGAGTAGAAGTTTTGGATTCATGGAATCTAAGCAGGGTAGTATTGTACTTAAAGGGTATGAGAAGAAGTATTGAATTCGTGGGATTTGAGCAGAATTCTTGGATTCATAGAATCTAAGCAGGGAAGTCTTG